CCTTTCCTCGGTTGTACTATCCACCTTTCAAGTGTTCCATAGTCCTGTGTAATTAGTGGCTGCTATTGTACAGCGCAGATATAGAACATTTCCATCATCACAGAAACCTCTATTGGCCAGTGCTCATCTAAAGCATTCTTCTCATTTTCTGTAGAAGGTATCTTAATTAGGATATACATCTGTTCTCACTCTTCGTCATTTGGAATATTAAAAAATATCAGTCACCACACAGGCTGTGAATCTATTTTAAAAAGCATGGGTAATGACATTGTGTTTTAACTCATCACTGGGTGTGACAAGATAAAAGAAAAGATCATTTTAGCAAAAGCTTTTTACTTCCTTTTATCTTTTCTCAATAAGCATCAGAAAATAATTATGCCTCCCTGCTTTGCATAGATGTTTCCAATATTAATTACATGAAGGATGCATTAAAATCAAGAACACAGTACACAGCTCCAGCCTCTAGAGCTAGACAAAGTGGCTGCCCTGAATTTGGGTTTATCCATGTGACTGATCTGAACTTTCCATACAGGAAACAGGGAATTGCTAACTTGACTCACATTGGTTGTATGGGCTGAAACATTCCAAGGATAATTGTGTGATCGCTATAATTGTAAATATTCGTCCCTGGTGTACTCTATTACTCTTAAAAAGACAATTTGGGTGGATGCGATGAGGACATTAAAGATACTAATGTGGATTTGGTCTTTAACAGTGAAAGGGAGATACTCTATGATTTTCAGTTATATATTCATTCAAGTTGGAATAAATGTTATGGTTCTATTCACCAGACACTCAAATTTTCTGTCACCATTCCTGAAGGAGAAAATGTAAGTGCTTGGGAAAGAAGAAAGACAGTCTCATGATAGTTAACTGCGAGCCTGACATTCTTAAATGGAGCTAGAATTCTAAAGACAATTTCTGAGTACCACATTTTAATAGAACATCTTAAATTACTTGTAGTTTTTTCTTTTTCTTTTTTTAATAGTTTGACTTCTGGTAGATTTTAATCATTTTAAATCATACATATTCTTTTCTCTTAATTTTGAGATTGTTTGTTGTGATACGAAATCATGCTTAAGATTTAAATATATGATTAGATCATTAACTAGAAGGAAAAAAAAACTGGCATCTATGTGCAGGTGATCAGATGACATAAGCAGTCTGGTTTTAATTTGTAGCCAGTACTGATTGTAACTAAAAGAGACTTGCTCTTTTTGTGGAATTGGCTGAGTGTTTCCCTGCATCTGGAGTTAATAAAGTCTTTGAGACCACATCAGTTGCGCTTTGCCGCAAGAACTCTTTGATCTGAAAAATCAAGACTGGCACAACTGCTGCTTCATAACATTGCATCTATGTTTTTGCAAGCTATGGTTAAGATACCAAAAGTAAAGTTCTTTGGCTGGGTTAGAAATGCTGTTGATGGGCCTCTCTAAGAACCATGTTTTTCAAAACATTTTTATTAAGATACAAACTTTGAACTTACGTTAGTAAATATATGATAAACTTATGGTAGTTTTAGTTTTTACCATTTTCATTTATAAGCTCTATCCTTCAAAAGCCCATTTATTTTTCAAACTCCTTATAAAAACCAACATTAAAAACAACTTTACCTCTAAAATGAGTCTATTTTATTTTCTCTGTATACTTTTAAAATGTTTACAAGAGTAGGCAAGTCTCTTCTCCTTGGTGTGATTTATATCAGTGTTTCTTCTTTCCACGGCAGCCATCTATTAACCATTATCTGATCAGTACAGTCTTTATTTGACAGCAATTTGTAAAGATGTAAAGTGAGATTTATCTTTTTATTAAAGTAAGTATATTTTGTTCGGAATACAGTGAATTGAATGGTAATAAGGATAAAGAAATATAAATTGATAAATTATGTTTAAATTTAAACTGGCAAATTATGTAGGTTTTTTTGTGAAATTTCATCAAAACTGGAGTTCTTTCATAATTATCAGTGGGAGGCTTACCTACTGTTTTAGTCTAAAACCTGTATAGAAATAGAGAATTTTTTATTTCATACTTTAAGATCAGTTATGATGTGTATAATAAATAATCATTTACAACAAAACAAGACATGTTCTAATGCTGTATTTTCTTGCTATATCTTTGGATTTACTTTATTTTTGTTGGTTGTGGTTTTAACCTACTTTGGGAAAATCAATATATAAAGGGAATAGAGAGGATCTATCTGTGGCTGAATTTAGACACTGAATCTTGATTAAAAGAAAAAAAATACAAAATTCCTCTACTAAAAACTTTATCTTGCCTATCATAGCCTATATAATACATTCCAAACACATATGTGTATTCCTAATTACTTCATTTTCACACTGTTTTTATGTAATAACACTAAACTAGAAAGCTCTGTTTAATATATACACTGAGTGGACAGATTATTATGTGTTCAGAGATCATAATAATCTGGCCACTCAGTGTATATCCTATATAATCCTATATAATAAAAGGCTAATATGCAAATTGTCCCCTTGACTAGGAGTTCAACCAGCAGGCAGGCCGGCCAATCTCCCATGTCCCCTGCCCCTGGGCAGGCTGGCCAAACCCCACCCATGCATGAGTTTATGCATCGGGCCTCTAATATATAATCTGGCCATTCAGAGAGTATGTGTGTGTGTATGTGTGTGTGTGTATATATAAATTCTCACACACACACACACACACACACACACACACACACACACTCTGAATGGCCAGATTATTATGTGTTCAGAGATCATGATAATCTGGCCACTCAGTGTATATTAAACCATTATATATGTTTATATATATGTGAAACATTTTATCTACCATATTCCCTTATCTAGGATCCTTCTGGCTAATTTATAAGAATATATCTTGTTTCAAAGTTCTCAGATATCACAGGTGTATTTTTACCTTTGGGATCTGAAAGGTAGGAAACTAACCTGAGTTCCTAATCCATTAAAAAGACACACCTGTGCAAGTATTAGTACAGGTAGCAAGAAGAGTTAAAATTGGCTTTTTAACCTTCTATGTAGATGAATTTTTCAGATCACATTAGACAGCTATAAGAAACAGTATTTGAAGACTGAACAAGGATAATACATAGCATTATAACTGCTCCTATAAGAGTGATACTATTAGCTAATACTTGGTGAGTGATCATTGTGCTAAATATTTTATATATATCATCTTGTCTGATCTTTCTACCAACCACCTGATGCAGGCAGGTACTGTTAGCACTATCTTTCAAATGTGTCCGGAGGGTTAAGTAATTTGCCAGAAGTCTTTACAGTTAGTTAATACCTCAGTGAAAGACTAAATGGAATATAAATGATAGTTTATGAAAATAAGAAATTTGGCTCCCATTGTAATCTTAAGTGTGTGCTTCCTCAACATTTTTTTTTATTAGTGTATAGAACTATGTGCTCAGGGTAAAAATGTCAAACTGTGTGGAAGGGCATAAAGTAAATGTCCTCCTTCCTAGTTCTAAGTCCAGATGTGTAACCATTAAGTTTCTCATATATAATTCCAGAAATTTCTTATGCTTATAAAAAGATATGATTTTTTAACACATACTCCCATAATTTTAGTTAATGTGATTCTTAAGTGGACTTTTAGGATTTTTATTTTGGAGTGAATTTTAATGTATGTATTCTTATCAGACCAAATAAAAGAGGTGTTTTATACACTGTTCATAATACACCTTTCCATTCTTCCTGACTTCTGATTTACTTTCACAGACCATGTATTACCTTAAATGTATTCTTTTTTTTCTTGGGTTTAATGGTCATCATGTAAATAGTTTGATTATGTTCTGAGTATTAACGTTATGTGGCCCCACCGGAGTGACTCAGTGGTTGAGTGCTGACCTGTGAACTTAGAGGTTGCTAATTCAATTCCCCGTCAGGGCACATGACCGGGTTGTAGGCTTGATCCCTAGTAGGAGGCATGCAGAAGTTAGCTAATTAATGATTCTCTCTCATCCTTGACAATTCTGTCCCTCTCTCCCTCTTCTTTCCTCTCTGAAATCAGTAAAAACATATTTTTTTAAAGTTATTTGGTTGACCCTTTAGTTTTCCAGAAAAAATGCCAATGTTGTCCATTTGCCCATTCAAAATGTTCATATTTTGCTTATCTGAAGCAAAGATGTGCCAAAAAAAATTAGTGCTGCTCTGACAAATGAGTTTTTTTAAATAGTAATAAAGCATAGTAGCACTTAATCTAATGTGTTTTTTTTTTAATAAATCTTGTAACTCTAACCGGATTGGCTCAGTGGATAGAGTGTGGTCTGTGGACTGAAGGGTCCCAGGTTCAATTCTGGTAAAGGGCATGTACTTGGTTGGGGGCACATCCCCAGTGGGAAGTATGCGGGAAGCAGCTGATGGATGATTCTCTCATCGATGTTTCTAACTCTATCCCTCTCCCTTTCTCTCTGTAAAAAGTCAATAAAATATATTTTTAAAAAAATAAATCTTGTAACAGTGAAAAGAATGAATTTTTATGATTAAACCCAAATTTTATTTCATGCTCTGTTCAAAATACATTTGTTTCCATCATCACATTTTGAATTGTGAGTTTATATGAATTTATGTCTTTAAGCAGAGTGAACATTTATGACTTTATTCAACCACCAGGTATAATTGTCACACAAAGATATATTATAGGAATATAAGGTTGGGGCAGGTTTACAGTTATGAGTATACAAAAGAGTTTATTCTTATATTATTATTTATTAACAATTACATTATTTTTTATACAGACAACTAAATCTGCTATTGCCCTACCCTGTATTTGGAGTAGTATTTTTCTTTAGTAATCATCTAAAAATAAATATATAGATAGTAACCAAGTTAGACATTATTTATATGGATTTAGCAGTTTCTTTGGACCTGTGTTAGTCCTTTATAGCTATGAGGTAAGCCTTTTATGGCCCTTTGTAATGCTACAATCATTATACATAAATTATATGAGAGAAATTTACATTTTAATTAAATTTCCTATTTAATTTTAAGGTATATGCACCATCCCCAAATTCAGATGATTTCAACCGTGAATCTCCTAGTTATCCATCTCCCAAGCCACCAACCAGTATGTTTGCTAGCACTTTCTTTATGCAAGGTAAGTACTGCCAAGTAGTTGTCAAATACTACAGCAGTTATCTATTGTATATTAGCTAAAATTGTACAGTTGTGAGGTAAAAGAATACCTTTATAGGAGTTCAGACATTTTTTTTTTATCTAGGTGTTTTTGACTGAGGTAAATGAAAATTTATTTTAAAAATTCTCTAGTGCGATTTATTGCTGACTGCATTGTTGGACTATCCATCAAACCACTGGAGTGCCCATCTAGTGTTGGCTGAATTTATAATTGATTTAAACTGAGAAAAATGAATTTTTTATTTTATAATTTAAATGTATAAAAGATATTAACAACTCTAGTTTTTTATTTAAATTGCAGATTCATATCGTTCCTAGAATTATCAATATAAATAAAGAGTATCATAGGACAGAATATGACTTGTTAAGATAGAAAAAGTATTACATTTCCAATAATTTATGTCTAGCAAATAATTTTTATTTGGTCTCCTGTGGTTTTAGATTATGGAAAGCTATACTATGGGAGCAGTAAATTACTGCATAAGTGGTTCCTTGATTTTACATTGGTGAATGAAGTCATTGCTAACACATTTCATTTGAAGGCTGATTGTAACAGTCATTATCAATTACTTAGATTTACTTTTAGAGAAACTTCTTTATTCTCCAGTTTTAAAATGTTTGATATAAGGTAAATTGTTTGTTATAGATTAAGGACTATTAAAAAAATATTTATGAGTAAACCATTTAACCCAAAATTAAATTCAGTCTATCTCCAAATTTGGAATTTTTATGATCCTTGCTATTAAGCTAGATCTTTGGGGGATTTTTATAATAGCCTATCTATTAGTTTGGATTATTTTTTCTCTAATTGTAAAGCTTTATTCCTTCTTTTTAGATAGTCATTATGCAATTTGAAGGGAAGAAAACTAGATAGAAGACTAGGTTGGAAAGGGGAGGGGAAAATATCTGGAGGATAGCCTTTGAATTTTTATAGCATCATCAAAATAAGAAAAAAAAATTTAAGGAAAATTTTATATTTCTCTTTTTGTCTTAGATGGGACCCACAGTTCTTCTGATCTTTGGAGTTCATCAAACGGGATGAGCCAGCCTGGCTTTGGTGGAATTCTGGGGACCTCCACTTCCCACATGTCTCAGTCCAGTAGTTATGGCAGCCTTCATTCACACGACCGCTTGGTAGGCTGTAACACATGACTAGAGTGTAGCAGCACTTTGTCCTCACTTGTGTTTCTTACTGGATTACAAGTGTAAGATTTGGTTCTGAAGTTTGAAATATGTCTAAGCTACTGCATTAAGCATGCCACTTGAGTTGCTAACTTGTGATGTTCTTTTTGACCTGCTACAGTAGTTGCCATTAGTCAGAAAATATATTTAATACAGTATGTCTCTTTCTTCCTTTCCCTAGAGTTATCCTCCACACTCAGTTTCACCAACAGATATAAACACGAGTCTTCCACCAATGTCCAGCTTCCATCGTGGCAGTACCAGCAGTTCACCTTATGTTGCTGCTTCACACACTCCTCCCATCAATGGATCAGATAGCATTCTAGGTGAGCTTTTTCAGGTTGGCAAAACTCCCGAGTTATGGGAATTTCAGTCAACCCCATACCTTTTAATATATTTTTAGTATTGAATTTAAAAATGAAAGGAAGAAAATAAATCTTTTCATTTTCCTTAATGTAGAAACATCTTTAGCTACTAAGTACAACACATGCAGAGTATTTGCTGGCTTATTATGACAGTTGTGAGATAACAATTAGAGAGAACCCTTGAAATACCGATAATGGGAGAGTGCTAAAAAGGCATGCCAGCTTGCTAAAATTCTTGATTTGTCTTTCTACTTGAAATATTCAGGAACCAGAGGGAATGCTGCTGGAAGCTCACAGACAGGTGATGCGCTTGGAAAGGCGTTGGCGTCTGTGAGTATCGATTTTATATATTCTACTAAATGAATATTACACTGCTGAAATGTAGTGATTGTATTTTGTGGGTAGTATGTGTCATAGTTAAAGATAGAGTTATAACAGGATCACTTTCATTACTCATTTAGCACTATTCTCAGTTTGTTCAATTCATGCTGCTCTTAAAATAACCTTTGAGAACATTGCCACAAGATCTATTCTTCTAATTCTAATTTAAATATATGTCTTTGTCTTTATGGAATAGATGTAGGTATAAAGAAGAGACATTTGGACATTTTTAAATCTGAGATTAATATTTAAAGCTATCTATTTCTTTCAAATACTTAGTGAGTTGCCCATTAACGTAAGTCATGTGGAACCAAGAAAGACAACTCAGTTATTTCCTGATCCAGAGAAGGAAGTGCTTATAAGGAATTTTTCCTAGACAGAAATTATTTTATATATTTTTAAAAGGAAATAATAATCATGTGCAAATCATTAAAAATGGGAAATGAGAGCCTTCCCTATAAAAAGCCAGAGTCATTGAAGAATTTATTCTAAAATTAATAAAACTGATTTGGAGGAATTTCATAGTATTTTCTTGAGCATCTAGTTTATATCACATTAAGAAATTAATAGCAAAGCAGTGATTTGCTTTAATATTGGAATTTTTTTGGGAGAGCATTTACCAGCAATTCACAAAGACTACAAATCTAATCATTTAAAAGAGGCTCCACTTTTTTATACTTTCTGAAGTTTTTCCTTAGGGTTTTGTTTTAGTTTGTTTTTTTTTTATCCTAAATAACATGTCTTTCAGAATTCCCAGACTTGTCTTATATTTTCTATGAAGTGCAGCTAACTTTGTCAAATACATTTGCTGCTGTTCATGGGGAATTACTCTCACTTAATGTTAGAGTAATTAATAGGAAGCAACTATTGAACCCTTAAGGAGGTAAACCTCTTTGATTATGATTTCTGTAAATGAACTTTTCTTTGCAGCCAAGTACAAGTTTCTTGAGAAATGAAGCCAAGCCAAACTTATCTATCACATAATGGAGCCCTGCACAAAATAGAACTCAGTAAATGTTTGTTGAATTCAGTCTTTTAACATATGACAAAAATAGTGGTGATAACACACAAAAAATAGCGGCTATAATTGGTTACTGGGTGCTAGGCACTATACTAAGCGTTTACATGACTTTTTCATTTAATCCTAAAGAAAACCCTGTGAGGTTGGCATATTTTCCCCATATTACAGATGAGGAACTAAGGTTTAAAAGGTTAAATGACTTCAGCTCAGAAAGATTAGGTCTTTTGCCCTAAGATCACCAAAATAGATATGGTGAACTCCATATATATTAGATGAAAACCCTGAACTGATGAGCTTTACTAGTTTGTACTTTCAGAAAGAGGAATGGTACAGTGAGTTGTTTTAAAAATTGGTGAGGATTAAACAAAGGCCACCTGGTGAAAATTACCTATTTAGGAAGAAAATTATTCTATAACTAGAGGCCTGGTGCACAGATTCATGCACCAGTGGGGGTCCCTCAGCCTGGCCTGTGAGGATTAGCCAAAACCAACTCTCTGACATCCCCCAAGGGTCCCAGATTGCGAGAGGTTGCAGGCCAGGCCAAGGTACTTCACTGGTGCTCGATCGAAGCCATAGGAGGGCTCAAGGCCATGTCCAGCCCATCTCACCCAGTTCCAATCAGCCGGACCCCAGCAGTAAGCTAATCTACAGGTCAGAGCATCTGCCCCCTAGTGGTCAGTGCGTGTCATAACAACCTGTCGAACAGTCAGATACTTAGCATAATAGGCTTTTATTATATAGGACTAGAGGCCCAATACATGAAATTTGTGTACAAGTAGGGTCCCTAGGTCTGGCAGGTGATCAGAGCTGATCAGGGCCTTCCGACTGCCAGCTGGGGCCTACCTTCACTCCATGTTGCTCCCTTGTGGTAATCGCATGTCATAGCAAGCAACCGTACTCTTGATCTCCTTTGAGTTTGCTATTAGGCTTTTATATTGAGAGATAATAAGTCCAAGGGCCTCCAAGATTGACCTGCCATATTCCTTGTGCTGATTGCACATGTAGAAGGACAAATAATATTTGAACCTTTAATTCTAGGAACTTTTTAAAAAATATAACCTGCATTTCAGGGGCTTTTTTCTCAAAAGTCTGTTTATTATATTAAAAGAAAATTTATGGGAAGGAATCTTGGCATTCATGTAGGCAAGAATTAGTGATGTCCTTCAAGCTCCTTTTCAGTTACCTTCCAAGTCCTTGACTATTTTCCCATATTTATGATCAACATATGAGCCAATCAGTTGGCATTTAGAAAAGTAAATCCAAAATCAGTGTTAGTGGAAGCCAGGGAAGAATGTTTAATCTAGTTAGTGGGTGGGCTTTGGTTGTCATGGAAACTCAATTCTGTCATCCTATGTTGTTACTAGGCAGGAGCAGCCAGGTCATTCCATAAATCATTTCTGTCATAGCTGATGGTGATGCATTCCATCTGCTCCATCACTGCATGCCATAGTCTGCACACTTCAAATCCCTTCCTTCAATCCATCTGCTGCCCCCTCCCCACTGGACACCTCCCCCAAATACATTCTTTCTCTAACTCCATTACAAAACTCACATTCACTGTAGTGCTCTCAGAATGTACTGAAAAGCAATACATTACATTGGACATAGGAAGGATTAGAAGAGATGAGGAGAAGGAATTTTATAAGGATTACATTTAAGAGTCTGGCATATCAGAATTTTATGTTTGATATTATAAGTCTTTGAAAATGGTGACCAGGAGTATTTTGAAATGTTTAAATTCTTTATAATGTGACATTTTTAACAGCATCAAGTTTTAGATAGAGAAGCACCATCCTACTGTCATTGGAAGATATTTTAGCACCCCAGTTGTCTGTTATATGTCTTAGAAGGTCTTTCATGTGTAAAACATCAGAGGGTACAACCTTTGTTCTTCAGTTTAGGTATTAAAGAGCACATAAAATACTGTGTGATTAAACATGTAAAGCCAGATAATACATTTGCAAAGGTTCCTTTATTTTAGGTTTAAGCCTGGATAATTGTGGTCTTAATCTCAGCATAGCTAAAAAGAGAATTGTACATGAAAGTATTTACACAAAGTTCCCAAAGCCCTGTGGATTATGCATTAGTTTAGATAATAAACTAGGGTAGATAGAAGGAAAGGAAAATCTGGGCATTCGTGCCGTTTCTAATGCATTTCCCTGAACATTTGCCAGACAATAACCCTTTAAGATTGTGCCCATGGAGAGTTATATAGAGGAAGAAACATCTGGTTTATTTCAGTGCTTAATACCATATCAAAACACTTGGTCTTTAATTTAGAGGAGATCAAACAAGAGAACTGTTTAACTTTGTTGATTATATCAGACTTCTTTGTGATAATTTATGTTTCGATTTCTACCTCAGAGCAAAGAAGAGAGAGAGTTTTAATCTGGATAGTTAAATGGTCAGTAGTCTTTAACAAAAGAAAAGAAAATTCCGGGAAGTTGATGTTTAAAAGTAATTCATGAAATAAGTGTCTTTGTTCCTTAGACTCAATAACATTAGCATAATAAAGATTAACTGAAATGTGCGCTGTAGTGTTTAAAAAATTGGGCCCACAGTTCCAAGGTTGGGCTTGGGAGCTCTCTATTGTTTCTTTTTTGTCTGAGGCCCTTTTCACTACCCTCTGGCTTATTGGCACCCTGCTGATTGGAATGGACCGTGACTGATAGGAGGAGGAGCCTTATTTGTTGCAGTAAAATGAGGCATATTACCTCTTAAGCCTGGCAGAAGGTATTGGGAGTTATTCATCATTGGTCATTTAACAGTACCGAGGGCCACGGCTGCATGCCGAATGAGTCTTACTTTGTGTTTATGCTCTAGATTCTAAATCACTCCCGTTCCCATTTTTAAATGACTGACTTTTTTCTTTTTCTTTTTTTTCTTTCAAACATCACTGTAGGAGTTCTGTAAGGTCAAGAAGTAATGTATTCCTGATTTAGAATACTCTCTGTCAAATAAGACCTTATGTTTAGAATTTCTTAAGTAATACAACAATTTCTACATAGAATAAGTATAATTTGTATGTTACTTGGTAATAGAATAATCAGGCAGAGGTGAAGTTTAACTAACTGACCTGTGATCTAAAAGGCTGTATTATTTTGCCTTTTTAACATTGTGTTGCTCCTCCTCTCCCCACATACACTTTCTTTTTATGAAAGCATTAGGGACAAAAAGGCTTAATTCACCAGGTTTTTTGTTCAGGAAAAGTATTAATGACAATTCTATCTGTTATCACTTTAGTTTAGGGCAGAGTAAAACCAGGGAATGTGATGGGTGAGTAGAAAAAAATGGTTTTTATTGTACAAATGGAGAAGTTGCTTTTGGGAAAAAAAAAAAAAAAACACGCTAAAAGTTATATATATTTTTAACTTGATACATTTTTGGTACTTCTGTTTTCAAAGTAAGTTTTAAAAGCTTATACCTATTTTATATACAGCATTAGAGCATTTTGCTAAGTCATTACAAGATAGTGATATATACCTCCAAAGTAGGACTTATTCCTTCTTTGAGATAAAGAAATTGTCACCAGCCCAGGCTAGGTTGTTTAGTTGGTTGGAGTGTTGTCCCAAATACCAAAAAAAGGTTATAGGTTTGATTTCCAGTCTGGGTACATACCTAGGTTGTGGGTTTGGTCCCCATTCAGGGTGCACAGGAGGCAACTGATCAATATTTCTCTCTCACATAGATGTTTCTCCCTCTGTCTCTAAAATCAGTGTTTTTTTAAAAAAGAAGAAAAAGTTGTCACCAGTCCTTTGCATGGTTAGGGATTATGTAACACTAATGGCAGAGTTATCAGGGAGAATAAATATTGATAGTTTATTTATATTCTCAAAAGCTTATACCTGTTTAACAGTGTGGTATGGATAGCTTAGTGCATTAACATTAATTCTCAGAAATAGAAGAACCTCACTATATTGTTCTCAAT